TCCCTCTGCAGAGCCTTCCTAGCCTCGAGCAGATCAACGCTCCTGCCCAACTTGGTGTCGTCTGCAAACTTACTGAGGGTGCACTCAATCCCCTCATCCAGATCATTGATAATGATATTGAACAAGACACAGTTTGTCTTAGTTTCAATGCAAGCAAACAGAAAATGGCTGATCACTACTGTCTGAGTTAAAGGAGGCATTATGTGTTCTTTATGCTGTTCGGCTGGCAGAAATTTAGAGGAAGAACTTAGTGATACAGTGAGAATCTCATCCATCACGGGCAATGACTCCTGGTGCCAGCTTTCACATCAAGGTCAGCTGAATGGAAAGTGTTGGGTACAGGAACGGAAAGGCTTGATCATGCAAACAAACTGCCAAATCAAAATGAGAACATACCTCCCTGTTCTACACTTAAAATAAAGAAATGGAGAAAGTGTCAAATTCTCTAATTCCAGAATAATAGCAACTGGGAGCTGGTTAATGTTCAGCCTTCAGAGCCATTACCTCTACAGGGACTTGTGCCTTCACAGCTGGATGAAAAGTGACTTGCTTTTATGATCCCAAGGAGATGAGGAGCTCAGACTGCAAAACTCAGAAACACCTTTGTCATAGCAGAAGGACAAGCAGACAGCACAGGGCTAAGTCTTATTCTAAGGCCAGAATGCAAATGCATTCAGCTGATGATTTCACAGGCATTTCAGTCTTGACATCAGCTGAATGACTCGTGTCCAATTATCCAGCTATGTCACCAAACTCTGTGCCTTGACCTACATCAAGCCTAGCAGCTCGGTATGCTGATTCAAAGACATCAAAGACAAATGGCAGTTTTAAGGCAGGCTTTGCGGCAAGCCAGCAGTGCTGGTGCAGTCACCTCCGGGAAGCCAGCACCTGACAGAAAGCCAGCAACCCACACCTGTTGAGCAGGGACTCTCCCCTCACCCACCACAGTCCCCGTCTCAATTCTCCTGTGCCACAATGAGGGAGAAGCACTGTCACTGCAACAGCTGTCAATAACCTATCCCTTCTCCAGGTGAACCCACTGCCGCCCACTCCTTGCCACCAGGCCAGGTAGTAAGCCAGGGATGTCTGGGGTACTATTAATTCCCAATTCCTCTAGTTCCGTACACTTATATACCTCTGCACACCTATAAAAATTTTTGTCTTGGCATGCGTATGGAGGGCCTGCACTTCCAACAAGTAGTTGGTTGTCTCTGACAATGCCATCAGCCAGGCTTACTGGCTTCATTCACTTGCAGACCAAGTGAATAATTGTTCTTCGTACTCCTTTCCACGACCATTTTGTGTTCCACAGCCAGCACACGTTCTTGACCTCCTGTCCCAACCCTAAAGCTGAGCTTCCCAATGAGCATGTTCCACCATCACATAAGAAAAACTGAGGTCAGAAGGGGATCAGAAGGGAAATGCAACCTGACATCCATGAGCACAGCACAAAGGTGCACCTCATACTCAGAGAAAACTAGACGCACTGTAGAGGAGATACAGGTGTCCACACACCCAACAAATGCCACAAAAACTGTATTTAAGAAGCAGGGAGCATAGGGGAGCATAGGATATTTTAACATCTGGCTTACTGCCAGGGAGACACTGCCTAGCAGTAAGTGCTAGACAACTTCAGAGCAATGACTTCTCCTCTTCTCCATGAGTTTGCACAGCCACACCAGCACACATGGACACGTCGCTACTTCTGCTCTGGAGAAGCACATGGCTGAAAGAGGCAAGAGTGCTATACATCCACTGCAAAGATGTGTGAGGAAAATCACACGCTGTCTGTGTATATGCTATCTTGCTCAAGCTACTAATCATCCTCTCCATGGACAATAGACTTTACACACATTTTTAACAAAGGAAAGGAAAAAAAAGGTCTGGGTGCAACAAGCTTTCAGGACGCATGACAGGTGAGGTCCAGTGTTTGTGAAATGAAAGGAAACTAAGTACAGGAAGAAATAGCTAATGGAACTGAAGCAAGACATAAGCAAGTGACAGCAAGACAGGGTGGCCAAATGCTGACTCCAGTGAGACTAATTTGTTAAGCAAAGCAAACAATTTGTCCAAGTTTCACCTCAAGGGTCACATTTTTTCAAATAGTAATAGAAATATCACTCCTCTTCTGATGATTTGAACAAAACTATCTGGAACATACATCTATTATGTATGTATGTGTGTGTGTGTGTGTATATATGTCTATATTAGTGTTTGGTATATCTTTGAATTTGTTTCAGTTTGAGTTTGAATTTGTTCAGTTCAGCTGGTTCTTTAAAAGGTCAAGAGGTACCAGTCTGTTAGAGGGGTTTGGTTTTCTGGTCTTTTTTTAAGATATAAATAAAGACTAGTTATTTCCTGGTAAAATATTTCAGATGTGAAATTGAACAATGTCAGATGCACACATTGTCAGGCAAAAAAATATTTATGCGGGACTAATTCCAGTATCCAATATTGGTTCACTACATAGATTGCTGAACTCTCTTTCATCTGTCATCCTAGTTTATGCCAGCAGCTCGAAAAACAAAACAAATCATATTTTTAATAACAAAGGAAACCCTGCTTAAATTAAAACCCCTTGTTAGCATTTAATGTTCAACTAAGCTAAGGAAGGAAGCTGTGGTGAAAGCAAACAAATATGAAAAGTAAAGAATTTCACTCCATTTACTCCGGGTAAAAGCTGCTTAGCTTGGTCTGGCTGCTAAGCTGATTAACAAGCAGATTCAGCTCTCAAGTAAGTTAAAACTCCCTCTAATGGCAACTGAATAACGGACAGAGTTTGAAAAAATGAAAAGCATCTCACTGCATTTGAAATGTATTTTCGGCTAGGCAAAATCTAGTTAGTATGAATGTTTTTGAAAAGTGAAACTTTAGCTAGTGCCCAAGATTTTTTTAAATTAAAACAAATTTGTTTACATTCCTGACATAAAATTTTTATGTGCTGTGTAAGATGCGTTATGTAAAAATTTACACATTACGTAAAATATGTTTTCTCCAACGTGTTTGTTGCTTTAACAAAGTGCCTTATAAAAGCACCCATGACAGACGACTCCTCCCATCCATGAAAAGGGTCCTGCTATTCAGCAACACCACCCCCAACAGAAACACTAGATATTTTCAGAGATACTTACAGAATCAGAAATTCACAGGCTCAGATTTATTCATAACAAAATAAGCATTTAACCTGTGCGGTGAGTGTAATAAAATCAGAAAATATTACATTCTGCTCACAAATACCAAACAGGAATTGTCCTTAGAAAATAATAAAAATTAAGAACAAACCACAGCTCCTTTCAACTGGCTGAGCGCTGTCTGCAGGATAAAAATGTTAAGGAAGGAAGGTAACTAAGGGATTACCGGTTAGCACTAGATGTGCTAGCAATAACATAAGGGAAAAACTTACAAAATCACAAATTTAGAAAGCTTCAAGCTCAGTCATAATGAGAGCTGGTAACACCTTTTTCTACAACCTTGAGGGCATTTCAGGTTCCCAGGTAAATTCTACTGCTTAATCTCCTTTATTTCTGCTATCCCTGCAAAAGGGCGTAGAATTACAAAACTGAGAGATCATTACTTGATTTCTCATTAGCAGTGATGATTCTGTGCATCATTTTTACAGCCTGAAGGTCATTTCAATTACCACAACACAAGAATCTCAGGCTCTTGCTGATTTCACAAAGGTGAAATGTTTTCAGAAGGAAAATATTCTAGGGGGTGGAAATCCAGAGTAAAGTCAGCTTAACATTAAAAAAAAAAAAAAATCAGACCGTTTATTCAAAACCTGAATTTTAAAAAATGCTGACTTTTTATCCAAAAGCTCACCAGAGCCATTCTCCTCAAATCCAAGCTAATAACTCTTTTGCTTTAGGAACAGAAGCTTTTTATAGCGAGGTGTGGAATAAACCAGTCTTCTACACTAGCATGCACTCCCCTTTCAGAATAAGAAAGGCATTTGGAATTTGATCCAAACCTCACTTAAGTTAATAGAAAAAGTCTTGTGAATTCACACTAGACTACATGCACCGTTGTTACCTATTCTCTTAGTTACTGGAGGTTCAAAGCAGAAATGACCACTCACCCCACCAAGATAACTCGTAAGTACATTGATAATAGCAGATAAAAGAGTAAGTATATTCTGAAAGTAGGGCATACTTGCCTGTGAGATACTAGAGACAAAACAGAGATCAGGAATATGCCTATGCTTGTAGTTAATCTCATTTTATTGAATAGGTTGAAGTGCTGCTTAAAATAACAACACTTTACAGTCTGTACATGCAGTTTCAATTTTAAAAAATTAAATATATTTATTTTTTCCGAGGAGAAAACATGCATATTTATGTACATCATTTTGAGATAAAAGAAATAATTACCATTTACAGCAGAAATTCCTCTTTACAAATCTTTTAAGAGACGAGAGACAAGGCAGGCAGTAGCAATTCTGCAGAAAGCATAGCATACAAACTCTCTACACTGAAGGTATAGTTTATTCATTGAGAGACATTAGCAACTGCAGAAGAAGGTCGTTTAAGGATGGATTCAACTGAAAATGACAGTGGCTCTGTTGTTGAAAGTTTTGTTGTGGCCTGTTTGGCCCCAAAGAAGTCTTTTGCACACTTGTCTATTGTAAACTTGTATTTTTGGTTCTCTTTAATGGCACACTCTCTGTATTTCTTAGAAGCATCTTCGAAAGTCTCTTTCACAAATGCTGTTCTCAACTCTGCTCCTGATCTGTCAGGAAACGTTTGCTGGAACAGCGACTGAAATGGACTGTATTTGAGCGGTGGAGGGGGCTTGGTACTGTCTTTGCTGATCTTGCTTAATACCTGTTCCTGAGGAGCCAAAGAATCCTTAACAGAAATCTGAGAGAAAGTCCTTTTTGGAGGAGAGAAAGCTGACCTCTCACGAGCTTCCTGGGGAAGGCATGGTATCTCATTACATGACTGCTGAATGTCTTGCGTGTGGGTCAGAACGAGTGAATTTTCCAGTTTTGGAGACATGATGTCATGCTCAGTGTTTGGACAGTCCTGACTTTGTGAGACCTTGGCATCCCAACCTGCCCCCGGTTTGAGAGCTTGGACAGTAGTAGCATTTAACAGGCATTGCTGGTAGAGGAGAGCATCGCTAATGGGGCCACATTTTGGCCACACTAAGAACCTAGAAGACAGGGGATACTGCCTGTAGGTAGTAGCTACACTGACATTTGAAGAAATTAGTTCCATGTTGCTGGATCCTGAATACTGCATGGTTAGATCAAGGCAGGTTGGTAAAAAATTGCAAAACTCCTTGTTCGGAGTATCAACTTGAGTAGTGTTGAAGGCTGTTTTATATGAGTTGTATTCAGCTCCATGCACTATGCGGTTAGGGAGAAAAAGGGCAGCTGCTTGTGTAGCTTCCATCACCTCTCTCTCTTTGTACTCTCTCTCTAGCATAATGTTCTCCAACTCTTTATCAGCAAAAGCCCGTCTCTTTCTCATCCTGTCACTTACAGGGGGTGGCAAGGGTGAATTCCCTCCCAGGTAAGGGTCTGTTGGAATAGGACGGTAACCTAAAACAACAAAGCAGCATTAGGAGTGACGCCGCATAAGAAAAACATTAAAGCTGTGTTTGTAAAAGGGCTCCGTTTGGAGCCAGTCCCGCCAGGCGCCAAGCACTTGCTACAAACCCTGGACACCGTCAGCTCCTACTGAAGTCACTGTGCCACAGAGGCTTAGCTCCCTGCGCTGTCAGGCACATTCAGTACAAGTTCCTCAACACAGATAAGCAAGCCCTGCTCCTCTGACTTGTGTTGTCTCCTTCAAAGCTAGCTGATTAGTAACTTTAAAAAGCAATTCCAAAACAGCAGATCGAGGAAAAAAAAACCAAAGAAAAAAAAAAAGAAAAAAAAAGAAGGAAAAAAAAAGGAAAAAAAAGGTAAAACCCTGCTGTGTGTTACGACTGGTATTGCATCATGCAGCTTAAGGAGATCAATTTTTAACAAATACGGAAAGTATTTGAGTATTTTATTTCTTCTGAACTAAAAGAGAACTTGAATAAAACATAGAAATCCAGTCTCCGGTATATTCAATTACCAGGCTAACTGAATTAATTCAATATAACCAATAGGGTCCAATCCTGTTTGATCTACCCAGACAAGTAATCCCATTGAATTAATGGAACTACTTACATGAGTAAGAACAACAGGATTTTACCTGTTTTCACTCCCATTCCTCTCACACAAGTTTCCCCACTGCCAAGGAAGGTATCTATACCTACAGCTGATGCCTTTTCTATTCTCTAAAGATGAATCGCTATGTACACATTGCTACAGATGGTAGAAAATTCCAAGGAGAACTAGGAGAAAAGGAAAAGAAAGTTAAGATAAATTAGAGGAAAGAATATAGAAGAGATTTTTTTAAAAGAGTGAGCTGTAGACAAAAATTAGAGGTTTCTAACAGGTCAAAATTTTAATTGCTTTCTATTTTGGGGGAAAAATGAAGCTAGATTTGAGAACTGTAATGCTTTACAGGGCTATTGTTTGGAAAGTAATTAAAGAAATAAATTCGGGCACAATCCAAAGAAAGAGTGGGGAACAAAAAATATACCCTCTCACTAAAATATCCATCTTTAAAATGTCATTCTTCCACAGCTAATATTTTCGACGGGGGAAAAAAAATGAGCAGTCTATTATGTATATCTTACTATTGATAATGCAGCAATGTGTTAGGAGCTCAGATCAAACGGGAAAAAAAACCAACCCACTAACTGATTTACTTATTTGCTGATTAAAAAAAGCCCGCAAATAAATTACCCTGCACTGCAAAACGCTGCTGGGTAGTCATGTAAAAAGAATGTCAGCTTGTAACAGTAACTCTCAAATTTCAAATTACCGTTGCTAGCATTTCAGGCGTTATTTTGGGCGGGGGAGGTGGG